GACAGTGAGACTGTTATATATCCTTTGCCAGGATACGACTAGTGAAGACTGAGAACACTACTGCGTGCGTAACGGTGAACTGTAAAGTGTGTAGATCAGCAATAGCGCTGTGTTGCCTGTAGTCCCGAGGNTGTGTAGATCAGCACTGCCTCTAGTCCCGAGGCGTGTGAATAAGGTGCAATAAATCTAATCATCAAATCCAAAACCCGTCTATAGTCACTAATACACGTGACTAAAATAACTACCGCTTGAGCGAGCTTGTTCTGTATGTTTCCTTTCAAATGCCAAGCAAAGTATAACTGTTCACGTTTCTGTGTACCGTATATGACATATACTTGTATTTAACTCTGGATACAGCGCCATTACCCGGCCTATCACACTTGAGAATTACGGAGTCTGTAGCATGTTTCAGAACTTAGTCACAAGTTGTTAACTTACCCGTGAAGTTCGTGTTACTGCAAGAGGAAGTTCTGGATACCTCGCCGCGCATAACATCACTGCATCTTCATAATACCGGACACACCGAGGTTCCCTATACAGTCTCCATAACCGTAAATAATACAGTTAATTGATCAAAGGGAAACGCTTCCAAAGGGAGTAGAGAGGTCGCCCTGTGCTGATGGTTAATGCAGTGTTAGAAGTTCATTCCTGAGCATATTTGAATATTGTCTTTGAGTAGGCAAATGATTGAAACTAGCGGCTTATAACGAACCCAAATGAGAAGCCATATTTCCTCCCTTACACCCGATGACGGAAACAGATAAAAACTTCCAAAACGTTTAAACGTAAAGTTACTCCTGTGATTAACTAACCAAGCATTACGCCATGAAGACCCATGGAGGAGTGGATGTACAGGCCCATGTTTTCTTCAGCTAGGCACTAACTGGAGGTGAGTGGTCAGCTTCACGCCCCAGTCGCTTTATCCACAGGGAAAGGGTAGGAATGTCTAGAAGACGTGGAAAACAGAAAATTCTTAACCATACCGGGATTCGAACTCCGACCCCTCGGTCTTCCAGCCCGTAGCCAGTCGCTATACCGACTGAGCTATCCCTGCTCCTACTTCCGAAACCACATCTTTGAAAAACTCTCGAGTTTTTGAAACGTAATGCTCCAGAGAAGTCATGTTAATTGTCTCTTGAAAGAATATTGAAAAACGTCTGTAGTACTGAGGTTGAATTCACGACATATATAGTAATGAAAAGAGGCGAGCAGTCAGCTGTACTCCCGGTTCGATCTGTTTTTAATCGGAACTGTGACTAGATTTGTTTACGGCGACCAAGTGACGTCTGAAGTAGGACTGCATATACCGGTACAAATGCACTGAAGAGAGATGAATGCCGTCATACGTATAAAATTGCCGGGCTCTATACGAAAGGGATTAAGTAAACAGGAAAGAAGGAAAGGTGGAGAGATATAACATGAAGAGAAGAGTGGATATATGAGAAGAGAATGCAAAAGTATAGAACAGAAGAGACAAAACGGATATAGAAAGAAAGAATAAGGAAGGGAAAGATATTATGTACATATCTCCGAATTAATTAGAATAAAAAGGAAGAAAAAGAGCAGAAAATTATAAAGTACAGAAAAAGAGAAAGTGACGAAAATGGAAATAGAAAGATAAAAGGATGGAAAGGAATTTCATATATTTCTCAGAACTTACTGGAAGGAATGAAAGATACAGGGGAGAAAATATAGAACAGAAGGAAAATATAAAGTACAGAAAGAAAGTAAAAGGTAAGAAAAGAGGTGAAGCTATCCCTGTAACAGGCCGTGGAGGCCCATGGGGTTGTGAGACGTCGAGGCTACCACATTTTCTAGACTTTCGGCTCACAGATGACGGTGAGATAGTCAGCCTTTGCTCCGGCGCCCTTTAACCCCCAGGAAGATTCCTGGTACTCATTTCTGTTAGAGGCTTAGTCGACCCCAGGGCCATAGTGAGGCTGGAAGGATTAGGTCAAACGAAGAATGTAGTGACCTCATCGGGAATCGAACTAGCGACCTTCCGGCTTATAGCATAGTACCCCCAGCAGAAAACGAGGAAGTGAAAAACAGACTGATATAGAAAGAAAGACGAAGAGAGAGAAAGCAATTCCACACACACCTCCATACTTATTAACTAAAAGTCAGGATACAAGTTAGGCACTTACCAATAATCTGAGGACGTGGTCAGGCACGTTACGGGAACTGTTGCAAAGCGCATGCGCCGAGGAATGAGAGAATATAACAGGGGCTCGACTCATTCGCAGTGCATCTAGCATTGTTGGTACAGACACGTGAGACAAATCCACCATCATGCCAAGGCGATTCATCTCCCTCACAACTAGCTGCAATCAATTAATCAATCAGTGTTCATCAGGTCATGTGTCATGTATCTCTGTGTCATGCCAACTTAGAGTAAGGGTATTTAAGAATAGAGGGCTGAGAAGAACATATGGACCGAATTATCAGGAGATTGGAGAAATCTGCTTAATGAAGAGCTTCGTAACTTTCATTCCTGGCCAAATATAATCTGAATATCAAGTCAAGGTGGATGAGATGGCAGAGAATGTAGCATGCATGGAAGGGTTTTGGATAGAAAACCAGAAGGAAGGAGACTACTAGGAAGACTTAGAAATAGGCGGGAGGGTAATATTAAAATGGATTTCAGGGAGAAAGAATGGGGTGGTATGGACTAGAATGATCTAATTCAGAATAGCGGACTAGTGGAGGTATCTTATGAACACGGTAATGAACTTTCGGGTTCGTTATAATTTTTGGAAATTCTTGAGTAAGTAGCCACTAACAGCTTCTCAAGAAGGACGGAACTCCACGGAATCAGTTACTTAGATGGTCAGAGATCCGCAGATGAGAACCTCAAATCGAAAAAAGAAAATATTACATGGGGTAGGTATCAGCTTAAGAGAAATTCAATTCACATATTTTAGCGTAATTATCCAATACCAAATTTAATACAAATCTGTTTGGAAGTTCTAGAGATTATAAACATGCATAATGACGGACATATTATTATCAATATTTCTTTTACGGATGCATTTTCAGATACATATTAACGCGAACTATGGTTCAGTTTTGAATTCTTGAAGTTCTATATCATTTTGAGGCACTCTGTATAATGCTCTGGACGATCTTCCATAGTTGCACTTGATATCGGTTTAGACAGACTCCTGAGATTAAAAAGGGCACTGAAGTGGTCGATACTGTTACGTGTAATTCGAATTCAAAGCGGAACATGAAAATCGATTTTGCAATCTCTATTTCCCATCAGCCTTGGCATGCCCAATTTCATAGCGAGCCTCTGTGGTGAGGGATTTAGTGCCGTGTTGAGAATTCATGAGATTTTTCAGAGTGTTAGGGTTCGAGGTTTGGCTGCCAAGCAGGAAACGCTACTGACAGACAAAGAACGGCGAAGAAGCATATCAGTATTCCAGAAGAAAACATTTCGAACTCCTGTTCTAACCGCTCTAGAGATTTTATACTTTGTACTCATTTAACGAAGGCGTTTCAAAGGCAACGGCTGTGTGGCATCTAACTGTGAATAAGGGGAACACCCACATTAGTGTTACAACCACGTGAGTGTAAATATAATATAGACACTTTCTTCGAGAGAAAAGTGAAAACGAAATACAAAATGTGAAGAAAGCAGATTTCTGGGATGTGGCGCCGTGTAGATACTGTGTTAACCGACATTTCAAAGGAACGTATCGCCTCCACCGTCAGACATTAGTCTGTTAGCATCTGCTCACGCTGGTTCCTCATTCACGGATTTTCTTCTTTTTTCTTCTACCCTGAAGATGGAGGCTATACGTTCCTCAAAAACGTCGGTTAACATAAAACCTACACGGCACCAGATCCCAGAAGTCACCGCCGTGACAACCTCAGCTCTTACAAATAGAGATGTTGTTTAAGATCAGGGGAAAGTAGACCGTTTCACCCTCTCTTAATTAAATAAGCAACACGTCATGAAGACTTATGGGGGCAGTTGAGGTATAGCTCCACCATTCTTAGCCTCGCTACTATATGAAAGTATCAGCTTCACTATTTTTAATGTTTTCATCTTGTTGCGTGAGTATAACTAATAACACATGTTCCACGGTCAACGCAACTATAATTTATTAACTTATGTTTCACTCCCTGTTTCAACCCTTATAGGGTCATCCTCAGGTGTTGTGATGTACACTTTTTCATTATTGAATTTTAAAGCGTGTATTCATGTTTACATACATAGGTTTAAATGACTATTTTCTATTCTAACTGCTAGTAGTTGATATAAATACAAGATATATGGAACTAAAAGTGAAGATTATAAGTTAATTTTTAATTAGTTATTTAATTTTCAACTAAAAGTTGAAGATTAGAAGTTTATTTTAAATTAATTAATTAATTAATTAATTAATCTTCAACTTTTTGTTCCATATACTATATTTTTCATTTAAATCAACATCTAGCAGTTAGAATATAATTGTAGAGAGAAAGGAGTCATTAAATATGTATACAGGCTTTACAATTCAATAATGAAAATGTGTACATCACAACACCTGAGGATGACCCTATACGGATCTAAACATGTAGTGGGACATAAGTTAATAAATTACAGTTGCGTTGACGGTGGAATTTGTATTATTAGTTACTAGCTTCATGCCTCTGTCGCTTTGACCCCTCAGAGCCTTGGTACCAACTGTGGAGGAAGCAGGGTGGGACCCAGAGCTAGTATGGACGCTATGGAGAAGAAAGATCTCTTGCCTACATTCGGAATCGAACCCCGTCTCCAGTACTGCAGTCCATAGCCTAGTCGCTATACTGACTGAGTTATCCCGGCTCCGTTTGCAAACAAGGCGCAGAACATGGAGTTCGGAGCAGAGCGTGTAAAGCCTGCTTTCATTTGCACAGATGATTGGCTTGCCAAATAGAATACAATTAAACCACACCACGAAAATGTATGGAGGAGTCGGAATATAATTCCAAGCATTCTTAAACTTGGCAACAGATGATTGTGACTGATTTGTTTCACGCTTCGGCCACTTTATTTCTGCCGAAAATAAATCCAGTACCAGTTAAGCAGGAGACAGGATGTGGAAAAAAAAAAACCCGTCCCTGCTGGGAATGGAACCCCGAATCCTTGATGATTCAACCAGCAAACTAGTCACTATACCGATGGAGCTATCGTAGCTCCCGTTCTGATAACTAATTCAATGGAACGGTCATTCTTAAGAAGTCAATAGTTGCTCAGTTACTCGAGAATTTCCCAACATTTTACGGAACCCGAAGGTTCATTGCCACGTAAACAATAGCTCTCTACTAGTCCTTATCCAGAGCCAAGCGAATCCAATCAATATAACCCCATCTTGTTTCTCTAAAGGCGCATCTGCATTACTCGTGCTCGTGTGACTCGTTATGCTCGCGAGTAATGTGGACGATATGAAAAGTCACGAGACAAGCAAGTTTTAAATTTAAAAACTATAGCCAATAAATTAAAATACGACTACAGCCTATACACACTACGAGTAAATATACGGATCCTCACGCGCCGAAGCCTGGCGAGCAACTGAAGTAGTGTGGACGAAGATTTCCGAGCACAAGTAAAAGCCAGATGAGTCTCCCGATGAGCACAAGCCTGGCGAGCACGAGCATGAGCACGAGTAATGTGGACGCGCCTTAAGAGTCACTTGAATGTTATTTTCCATTATTCTTACAGCGGTCTCTTTTCTTCCTTTCACATCCTAGTAATTTTGGAGAAGAGCAGAAATTGTGTTTCTCCTTAATATGCAGTGCTATTCGGCCTCCAACCCAAACCCAAACCCCAACCCCAAAACCAAAACCACCCAATTACTAACTAGCGTCATAGAGATGAATCCTTCTTGAGACACCAACATTTTGTCACTCAATAAATTCCCAAGATTTTGTGGAGCCCGAAGGTTTACTGCCGTGTTGACAAGAGCCCGCTCTTATGAGACGAATCCAGTCCATCACCCCTCCCCCCCCAAACTCTTTATCCAAGATTCACCAGCCTCCAGTTTTGCATTCATTATGAGTGCCGCACAGAAATGTACATGCTCCGTGCTGACGTAACCGCGCTTCAGATGTGCTCCAACTTCGCGTTCTTTCCAAAGAACTGCTATGCTCTGACGCGAAGTTCTGCAACGGCCGATGTTGGAAAGTAACAGAGGTGCAATATTTTGTAACCATAAGAAACAGAGCAATAAAACCATTACGAAGCTGGAAGGTACTTCCGAAAGATACGGCGGCAGTTAGCCGATAGCGAACGAGGGTCTGGGGTCTTGGCTGCCATTGGTTGGGAACAGTCGGTCAGTATATGTGCAGCTGTAAATGAAAAACGATCCACAAGACAATGCAATCGAAAATATCTGGAACAAAGCCCGTTTATATTTCTTACTGAAATGTCTAGACAGGTAGTACGAGAAGAAAACACAAATTCCGGAAGTCCTAAATATTTTAAGGTTAATAATATAAAGAAAGATAGACGGGATAGATCAGTCAGTATAGTGATTAGACCCCGGAGGACAGACTTTCGATTTCCAGTAAGAAGAGGTACTTTTTCAGTTCTTCACAGCGTCGAGACTAATTCAGTGGCTCACCCAGCTTCATATAGAATTGGTGTGTAATGTTGCTGGAGCCTGGGTTAAGAATGCGTGGTTCTACTCCTCCACGCCTGCACACATTTTCAAGGTGTGGTGCTTAATTAAGGACATGAATGTGATATATCGACCTACTGCTAGGCAACAACTCTATAAATACATTCCCGCGGAGACAGATTCTTAGTAAACAGCATATTGCTCGGTAGTGCGCACAAAACACGCGACGATAGCGGAAATCCACTGCTAGGAATCGGGCCAATAAACAAGCATTCTTGACAAGAGAAGAGGTTTTTTTTTGCGTTTCGCATATATCCATTGCTGAGCAACGGATGTGTTTTCTATGGATCTGTCTCGACATTATATAAGTCGTAAAGAACGGAATCAAACAAGAGAATGTGAACGAGAATGGAGCGAATCTTAGGCTATCATTTATTGTGAACTGTTGTAACCGACTGTGATTAAGACAGACTGTAAAACAAAACAAACAAAAATAAACTCCGTGGCCTGTAGTCCGCAAGCGAACTATACTGACCGAACGACCGCCTCTTGTCGGCAAAGTTAGTGCCAACTTTAGCGGATAGAGAGTGTCACGTGGTCAGGGCAACGGATCCCCACGGCCGTTAATCTCGGGGCCGCTAGAAACTGCAAAAGGTGTTAATAAATCCAATCATCCAATATTGTTATTGGTCACGCCGCCACAATCACGTGACAATAATTTTACCTTTAATACA